GGGGGGGAGCGAGGGGGGGCGGGGAGTATAGGAGGAGTTTCAGAAGCTCAGTCTCAAGCTGGGTTAGAATTTCACACCCGGCTACCAGTGGGGAAATCGGAGCCCAGTTCTCTTGAGATGGACCACTCAGAACTCCTGCTGTGCCAGTAACCACAGACCCACACCTTCCAAAAGACACTTGGGACCTGAGTTTTAGGCTCTGCATCAAGTTCATTGGGAAAGGAGTGAGGGAGCAGCAATGTCAAGAGGTCAAGCTGTCAGATCCAGGCCTGGTCTTTGATCTTGACAACGCACTCCCACTCCACACTCCAGTAGCTGCAGAGAGCCCTGTCCCAGCAAATGCCCATCACCCAAGCCTTATTCCAGAGTGTTCCGACCTCTGGGCTCCTGAGGATCCTGCTGGCCACCCCTCCATCCCTCTCCAAGCACCTGTCTGAGGATGGATTGGTCGGGGAGACAGAGGAAGAGGATAAGGAACCAAACTGACAACAACAGGACAATGAAGATCAAGCGCGGAGGGAGGGGAGGTGAAATGATGCGAAGAGAAAGTGCCTTAGGTACCAACTGTAGGAAGTTGGAAACTGCACTTGTTTTCTTTTTCTGCTTTTAAGAGTAATTATCTTTTTAAAAAAAATCATGCTTAATGTAAGAAAAAAAAAGGAATTACTGATGATCATAAAGAAAGGCATCAGTAATCAGCGATCTCACAGCCCACAGAGAACCAGTTCTGATTCTGATATGTGTGCCTTTAGACTTCTTTCATTGCATGCCTGCACAAAACCCTTTCTTTCATTAAAACTGGACTCTGCTATTGATATTTCGGTAATGTGCGTTTTACCTAATAGCTTCTCTTACATCTCTCTTGCATATTAATAAATACACTTCAAATCATTGGTGAAGGTTGTTCTGTCATAGGAACAAAGCATATTTTATCTAATCAGTTCCCGTGTCAGGAATGCTGAGTCTTTCCCCCCATTTTCCACTGTTACTAACAGTCCTGTGCCGGGCATCCGTGGACATGTGCTTGTCAAATCCTGCCCTTTCAAAGTTGCAGTCTGTGTGTTATCTTCTCTCTCTGCCTTTTTGGCCCAGAGCATCTGGTGGTTTAGGTCCCAAACTTTAATCTATGCTGAGTTGTTTATGAACTTGACTTAAGGCATGAAGGTTGGGAACTATCATTGATGAGCGATAGATGAAACCACTTTTGTCCGACTCAGAATTATCAAATTGCATCTACTCCCAAGGTTACAGACTAGGTAAGGAGCCCGTAGGTCCATATTATTTTCCCCCTGTTTTGAATAAAGTTTACAGAGAACTCAGCCTTTATTCCGTCTGGTTGTTATGGGGGAGCAGGAAGATGGGACTGTGTCCTAAACCGCTGGGACCAGTCTGCCCCGAGCTAGATATGTGGCATTGCGAAGGGCACGTCACCTTCCTAAGCCTCACTGAGAATGAGAGGCGTAACTGGAGAGCTCCCCAGTCCCCCCATGGTCTTCCAGATCTGGTCTTGCGCGCGCGCGCGCGCACACACACACACACACACACACACACACACACGGAAGCTCCTCCAGCGGCAAAAGGCTGCCGCTGAGACCAAGGCCAATAGGTCCACATTTTTTTATATATATATATTTTATTGAGTTTTTACAGAGAGGAAAGGAGAGAGATAGAGAGTTAGAAACATCGATGAGAGAGAAACATCGATGAGAGAGAAACATCGACCAGCTGCCTCCTGCACACTCCCCACTGGGGATATGCCCGCAACCAAGGTACATGCCCTTGACCGGAATCGAACCTGGGACCTTTCAGTCCGCAGGCCGACGCTCCATCCACTGAGCCAAGCCGGTTTCAGCGGTCCACATTTTTTGAATTCAGAATGATTCCAGAGTCCAGACCCATTTCCCTTCCAGCCCCTATCTCTTTCTAGTTC